TTTTTATCATGAAAGGATGTTGTATTTTGTCAAGTGCTTTTTCTGCATTTATTGAGATGATCATGTGATTTTTATCTTTTATTTTATTGATATGATGTGTGTAATAACATTTATTGGTTTGTGTATTTTGAACTATCCTTGCATCCCAGGAATAAATCCCACTTGGTAATGGTGTATCATCTTTTTAATGTGTTCTTGAATTTGGTTTGCTAATCTTTTGTTGAACATTTTTGCATCTATAATCATCAGGGATATTAATGTATAGTTTTCTTTTTTTGTGCCATCCTTATCTGGCTTTGGATTCAAAGTAATGCTGGGCTTGTAGAATGAGTTTGGAACTGTTCTCTCCTGTTGGATATTTTGGAAGAGTTTGAGGAGAGTTGGTGTTGTTTTCTGAACATTTGGAAGCATTCTCCAGTGAGATGTCTGGCTCTGGAGTTTTTGATTACTGATTCAATCTCTATACTCAATACTGGTCTGTTCAGATTTTCTATTTCTTCCTGATTCAGAGTTGATAGGTTATGTGTTTCTAGAAATGTATCCATTTCTTCTAGTTTATGTAGTTTGTTGGCATATAATTGTTCATGGTAGCCTCATAGATTCTATGTATTTCTGTAATTTCAGTTGTAACATCTTATCTTTCATTTCAAATTTTACTTATTTGAGTCTTCTCTCTTTTTTTCTTAATCTAGCTAAAGTTTGGTCAGTTTTTTTAATCTTTTTGAATAACCAGATCTAAATTACATTGATCCCTTTTATTATTTTTCTAGTCTCTATTTCATTTATTTCTGTTCTGATCTTTATCATTTCCTTCCTTCTGATAACCTGAGGCTTAATTTGTTCTTATTTTTCTAGTTCATTGAGGTGTAAAGTAGGCTTATTATTTGAGATCCTTCTAATTTTGTAATATATATGTTATATTAAGCATGTATGTTCCTCTCAGAACTGCTTTTGTTGTATCCCACAGTATTTGATATGTTGTCTTGTCTTTCCTTTTTTTAATTGAGGTATAGTTGATTTATAATATTATTGAAGTTTCAGTGATTCAATATTTTTATAGATTATACTACATTTATAGTTATTATAAAATATTCCATGTGGTGTACAATATATCCTTATAGCTTATTTTATACAGAGCAGTTTGCACCTCTTAATTCCCTATCCCTATCTTGTCCCTCCTCCATTTTCCACTCCCCACTGGTAACCACTAGCTTGTTCTCTATATCTGTGAGTCTGTTTCTGTTTTGTTATATCCACCTATTAAGTGATATAATACAGTATTTGTCTTTCTTTGTCTGACTTATTTCACTAAGCATAATACCCTTCAGGTCCATCCATGTTGTTGCAGATAGCAAAATTTCATTCGCTTTTATGACTGAGTAGTATTCCATTACATATATATACCACATCTTCTTTATCCATTCATCTGTTGATGGACACTTAGGCTGCTTCCATGTCTTGGCTATTGTAAATAGTGCTGTTATGAATGTTGAGGTGCATGCATCTTTTTGAATTAGTGTTTTCATTCTCTTCAGATATATACCTAGTAGTAGAATTGCTGGATCATACAGTAGTTCTATTTCTAGTTTTTTGAGGAAACTCCACACTGTTTTCCACAGTGGCTGCACTGATTTACATCCTAACCGACAGTGTACAAGGGTTCCATTTTTTCCCACATCCTCACCAACATTTGTTATTTGTGGCCTTTTTGATGACAGCCATTCTGACAGGTGTGAGGTGATATCTCATTATGGTTTTGATTTGTATTTCTCTGATAATTTGCGATGTTGAGCATCTTTTCCTGGCCTGTTGGCCATCTGTATGTCTTCTTTGGAAAAACATCTATTCAGGTCTTCTGTCCATTTTTAAATCAGGATGTTTGGGGTTTTTTTGATGTTGAGTTGTGTGAACTGTTTACATATTTTGGATATTAACCCCTTATTGGCCATATCATTTGCAATATAATAATTTTCATGTTTCTAGTTGTGGGCTTTTTTTTCCTCTTAGAGAAGTCCGTTTAACATTACTTTTAAAACTGCTGCTCTTTTAGTTTTTGCTTGTCTGTAAAACTTGATCTCTCCATCAAATCTGAATGAGAACCTTGCCAGGTAGAGTATTCTTGGTTGTAGGTTTTCCCCTTTCATCATTTTATATCATTCCTTTCTGACCTGCAGAGTTTTTGCTGAGAAGTCAGCTGTTAGCCTTATGGGAGTTCCCTTGTATGTAATGTGCTGCTTTTCCCTTGCTGCTTTTAATATTCTCTCTTATTTTTAATTTTTGCCATTTTAATAACCATATGTCTTGTTGTGTTCCTCTTTGAGTTGATCCTGTTTGGGACTCTCTGTAATTCCTGGACTTCTATGTCTGTTTCCTTTCCCAGGTTAGGGAAGTTTTCAGCTATTATGTCTTCAAATATGTTCTCTGCCCCTTTGTCTCTCTTCTCATTCTGGGACCCCTATAATGAAAATGTTAGTATTCTTGATGTCCCAGAGGTCTCTTAAACTGTCCTCATTTATTTTTCTTCTTTTTTCTGTCCAATGTCAGTGATTTCTACTACTCTGTCTTCCAGCTTGCTGATCCATTTTCCTCTGTATCATTTAGTCTACCATTGATTCCTTCTAGTGTATTTTTCATTTTGGTTATTGTAGTCTTCATCTCTGCTTGGTTGTTCTTTATCTTTTCTCTTTGTTAAAAACTTCTAAATTCTCACTTTTTTCATCCATTTTTCTCCTGAGTTCTTTGATCATCTTTATGATCATTACCTTGAACTCTTTCTCAGATAAGACTGCCTATATCCAGTTCACTTAGTTCTTTTTCTGGTTTTTAAGCTTGTTCCTTAATTTAGAACATGTTCATATTTAATCTTTGCCTTCATCTGATATGAACTGAATGATTTTTGCTGATTCAGATGCTTAATGGTCATGAGACCCCCTCAGGGGAGGAATAATCTCTGGTGCCTGTCAGTGCAGACATGCTTCTCCCTTAGTAGTCAGTTCTAATTTTACCTTTGGCCCCTTTAAGTCCCCCTGTGCCCCTTTTGGCAGTATGGAGTGCAGCTGAGAATGCCTCTGGATCTCCATCTGCCCAATGCTGCCTATATGTAATTTACCCACAATAAACTTCATAATTGCTTGTTTTTTGGTGTCAAAGTTCCTTCCCAGTTTGGAGAATATATTCAATATCTCTGCCTACCAATATCAACCATTTCTAATTTGGAAACATGTAGATTTTTTCTCTTTCATTTTATGTTTACTGTGCAGACTAAAGTTTAAGTTTGTAGGTTATTAACACACTGTTAATTGAAAATATCTAATTGTTTATTCAAGTTGAATTCATGCCTAAAAATTCTCTCCAGGATGATGTAAAAACAAGTCCGTTCTTTAAAATCTTTTTTCATTCATATGATTGAGAAGAATTTAATTTTAACCTTAATGTGTGAACTACTTCTTATGTCTCTGATGGCTTTTCATTTAAAATGCTAGAGATATTAACAGGTTTGAAATACCATCAGTATAATAAAAGAACTGCTCTTTGAATAATAACAATAATGGTATTTTAATAATCAAAATGTAAGACTTCGGGTCAGTTTCTAGTTCTTTAAGTTTTCTCTAATTTTTGTATTTCCAAGATATTTTAGATTATCCATACTAATTCCTTCCCCCTTGTCTATGAAGGATCCTAATTTTGTTTGTTTTAAGGGACTTCATGGAATGAAGGTTTTTCCAATCCTCTGAAATTATCATCCCATCCTAATAAGTCCATAAACTTGAACTTATTCTCCCAAATAACAGGAAAATCAGGTATAACCTATCATGTTTCAAACTCTTCCCAAAGTGAAGCTGAAGTCTAAGACAAAATCTAAAATCAAATAAACAATAAATGGAAAAAACATAAAAAAGAGGGATTGAAAAAATGAAAGCATGTGGAAAAAAATCCATGAATGTTCAAAGGGTGCACAGTGTTTTAAAGTAAAGGTGTCCTAATAATGTGCATCTTGCAGCCTACAATTGTTTTTGACAATCATTAGGAGTCATCACTTTCTGGGAGAAACACATCTTTTGCAATCTTAAAGTCATTTGCCTAGAGAAGTTGTATATTATGCATATGTGAGGTTGGCAATATGAAAAATATTCAAGCAATATAGGGCACATCACATTATTTAACCTCAGTAAATGGTTATTCTGAAACTGTAATTTTCCAAGTTAAAAAGGTCTCAGGTTGTACCCCTAGAAATTTGCACTTTGGAAACTTTTCCTGGATTAAATGGATTATTCAAAACATTTACAAGCACCCAAATCTCTGCATTCCCTGCAAGAAAGCAAAAGTGAGAAATACTTGGGGCCTAGCCATGCATTTATGACTTAGAGACATAAATTCTGCTCCTAAGTTGATTCTAAGTATTTCCACACTTAAACAGTGATGAATATTAAAAAATAAATCTCCATTTTAAGATACTCTCTTCCTCTTACAGATGGATGGATTGACTGAGAACATACATATTTTAAGTTCCTTTCTCCTTAAGTGGAAAAGATAGTATGAAAATTTAGCATTTAATGAAGACCTACATGAATACAACAAAGTGATACCTCCTTTAAGGAAAATCTTGCCAGACCTACTCAGTTTCAGTATGTCCTTCAGGTACCTCTCAACTGATAATTTTCAAAAAAACTTTTATCAAATAATTTAAATTTTTTTATTTATTTATTTTTCCAAATAATTTTCAAGTTGAAAACAATCCAATCTTTATTCTAAAGTTCCTCTCATGCTTATAATGCAAACTACTGAGGTGGTTCTGTGGGATAAGACCCTGAGTCCTTAAAGTGCTCTGAGAGAGGAGATGCACCATGGGTGAGCTGCAAATGTACACTGAGATGTGAATGGTGTGCAACCTAATGTGACCTGATAGCATCTCAGTGTCCATGGTGTTTTCTCCTGTGGTCTCCAGTTTAGTGTCTGGCCCTGGAGCCCAGGATCTAAGCTGAGATTGCACACTCACTGACCTTTTGGTGCTTGTGCTGGAGATAGGCAGGTAGTCCATGACTGCGATGTACACGTATTGCTTGGCATCATCTATTACACTGTAGATGGCGTCTATGTCAAAGCTTCTGTTTTTAGGGCAAAACAGTTTGGGAGAATTCTGTGAAGACACAAAAACCAAACTTTTAGAGTATTAATTTTTGCAATCTGGGGATTTCTCTTTTTTGTTGTTATTTAAAATTTTTTAAAAATGAATCTTGGCTTTTAACCAATTTTTGCAAACCTACTTTCCAGTTCTTTATGAGATTAAGACAAATACATTTTCAGTTCTATCAAAGTTGAGGCAAGTAGAAAACAAGGTGTATGGGGGATGGGTCTCAAATCTGTCCGTTAAGTCAGTTTTGGGAGGGAATTCTTGTTTTCAATACACACACCTCTTATTTTTATGAGTGATCTAACTCTAAACTTAACATGACTCTGGTATACATCCCTGTCATACATAGTTAATTTTCTCAGACATTACCATATATAGTGTATATGTGCATATAGCAAGCCATTTATGCTAGAAGTTATTTCACTTGAAAGGTAATGTGGCCATGAAGATGTTCAAGACACATGGTCTGAAAATCTTGTGTGTTTTATTTTTTTTTCCCAAATCTTTCATCGAGTGAGGAAGAGGAGTGTTGATTGTTGAGAAAGGGTCATCAGTAATTCTAGAGGAAAAACCAAGTGACTTATTAAGATGCCAAGTTCATAGGAGAGACAGGGCCTTAAGAAAACTGAAAAAAGAGGCAAATTATACTTGAGGTATTTTTCTTATGTTGCTCGAAGTGGTTTCCATCTTACAGAAGTACGATGTTTTTAGATAAAGTTGCTATAGAAAGATAAAGATGTACTTTGGTTTTCTCATTGGTTTTCCACTGGACAAGACTGAAAGGAGCATTTCTGTAGTTCCTGCATTACTCTGACAAGCAAGAAACCAAGTGAAGGAACACAAAAAAAGCAATTGGTGCTTAGTACCAAAGGCCATATAAACAGTTTCTGGAACTGCCTGGAATGGCAGTACTGGGTCCTTCATCAAATGTTCTACCAGTAATGGCGGTCAGGGTCCCTGACAAATGTTTGGGAACAACTCCCCACACAGTGCTGGTGGGAATCGCTATCCCAGCTTAGAGAGAGGGAAGATGAAGCGCTCGGACTGGATGCCCAACTGAGGAGGAGTGTGGGGCTGAGAAAGGAGCCTGTTTAAGGGCCACACCCACCAGGCATCCCTACTCAGAATGTTGTCTTGGCAGGTGATTATCAGAATGAGTTTTTGATTTAAATTACTTTCCTTCTGGAATGAGGATGAGCTTCTAAGTATTAAAAAAAACAACTAATGCTAAAAGAGAGAAATAAACCACAACAAAAAAGCCCAAAACAAAACAATAAAAGATAAATAAACAAACAAACAAACAAAAGCCAATGCTCATCCTACACCTCTTCCCCAGCACACACATATGCAGATACCCCATCTGTCACCAAGATAGATGGCTTGGGCTTCTGCAGTGTCTCTCATGTTGTCCCTCCCTCTTACTCCAGATTGCTGTTTCCCTCATTCAGGCACTGGTGCTGTTTGCTGGGGCTTTTATATGTCTTCTGAACTCATTTCCTTGTCTCCTCGATGCTTAAAAGACAAACAAACAAACATGTGTCACTCTCAGGACTCCTGGTTTCTTGGAATCCAGTCTGATCTCATTGGAAGGGATGGATCCATGTATCCTCTGAGTTCTGGCCCTCCCATTTCTCTGCCTCCTTCATTTACTGGCTACCATGCCTTCTGTGCCCCAAGTTAAAATAATCATCAGCCCATGGCTATGCTCTCATCTTGTCTGCCTCTGTGTATTTGCTCCTGCCAGCCCCTCCGGCTGATGTGTTTTCCTATCTCTGCCTATCAGAGTCCTATACATTCTCAAAGTTCTAGCTCATATACTATCTCCTTATGAAATTTTTTAATATTGTCACCTAGAGGCTACTTCTCCTTTTCTGTCCTCCCATAATATGATTTATTTGTTATATTGTTTACTGTATTCAAACTTATAATTACTCACACTTGTCTCATGTCCTTGCTTGGACTGATATACCTTGATTTTAGGAATTTCATTTTACTCAATTTTTCTATCTCCATTAATAAATTAAATATTCAAATTCATTAATTTCCTCAGCCTATTGGGTCTGCTTTAAACATTCTTTAGGTTTAACATGGAGAATCTAAGGATCTTAGCTCTAGACAGGAGCCTAGGTCAACTCTGAAATGTGTCCAAATGCCCATGTTTTTGCTTCAGTTAGGAATTTCCTGAATTTCTTTGCATGTTCCCAAAACTGGATTTTGGTTTCAGGGAGGAACAAATTTAGACACAGAGTTGCTAGTTTCTTTACATTTGCTATTTTCTAATAAGTTTGGATACTGTGCCTTTGGTGATAGAGCATTTATATGCTGGTGATGTGCCAGGTTCCAGCATTTATAACCTGTAGCATGCTGGGCATGTCCCTTACACTTCCTGAGCCTCTGTTTCCAATGAGATAAGAACAGAAAAAAATCTTTCACACTGGTTTGCCTTGTGGCTTAAATAAGAGAATGGCCTACTCCTGGCTGGGTCTGCTCCTCTTCTGCACTTGCTTTCATTCATTCATCAACTATTCCTAAGTACCTGCCACTCACCTAGCTCTAGTCTAGGCACTTGGCATACATCAGTGATCAACATAAGATTCCTGCTTTGTGCAGCGTCATTCCAGCACGTGCTACATTGTACTGCATTCATTTGTCTGTGTGATTCTCCACAAGCTTGTGAGCTGCTTGGTTGTATGTCTCTGGCACCTTGTGCCATGACATACTTAGCACATATTATATGCTCAATAAATATTTGTGGAATGAATGTGAAAGTGCTTCTTAATTTAGTAAGTGTTGGAGACTTGTTTGACCCCCAAGCTCTACTCCTAGCTGGAGTTGCTTCACTCTAGGTATTTACATCCATGTGTGAATAGACCTTTATTTTTACATACCTTTTTCTTTCCTATGTTCCCATTGCCAACCCAATGCCTAGAGCATGGCAGATGCTTCATGTGTTTATTAAGGAAATGCATGACTATTTGTATGAGTACCTCTGCCCCTGGGGTCATGGTAGTACTTGACTGTGTCCTCTGATTTGTCAGAGGAAATTAACTAGTTCTGATTGTTTAATTACAGAGAAGGCTGTTAAGTTCCCTTTTTATCATTCCTGAATTAATTTTCTGAGCCTTGCACTGTGTACTCCTTTATTCCATAGCAAAATATAAGGAGAAGGAAAATACAGATCCTTTTCTTTATTTCAGCTCTGTGATGATCTTTTACCAATCAAGTGCTCATGAGGCATTTTGATAATAAGTAATCTATGTTTCTTTCTTACATCTATAAATGCCTTATATTTGCATGTACCTTGTTTTGCATATTCATTAAATACTTGCTTTAGTATGGTTTTGATTTATTTCCTAACAGTTTCCTGGTTTTTTAAAAAAAATCCATATTCTATTCCCAGAATATATATGTTAAAATGTAAGTAAACATGAAAAGACAACCCACAGAATGGGAGAAAATATTTGCAAATCAAGTACATTCTTGTATCTAGAATGTATAAAAAACTCTTACAACTCAATAACAAAAAAAAAAGTAATGTAATTGAAAAATTGGCAGAGGATTTAACAGACAGTTCTCTAAAAAGATATACAAATGGCCAGTAAGTGTATTAAGATATACAAATGGCCAGTAAGTGCATTAAAATATGCAAATAAAAATCATGAGACAAATTTCACACCTGCCAGGAAGGCTAAAATAAAACAGAAAATAGCAGGTGTTGGCAAATATGTGGAGAAACTGAAACCCTCATTTATTGCTGGTGGAATTGTAAAATGGTGCAGCCAATTTGGAAAAGTTTGTCAATGCCTCAGAATGTTTAACATAGAGTTACCACAGTACCCAGCAATTTCACTCCTAAGCATAAACCCAGAAGAACTGAAAATGGGTATTCAAATAAAAATTTGTACATGAAGGTTCATAGGAGTACTATTCACAATAGCCAAAAGGTAAAAACACTCAAATGTCCATCAACTGATGGACAGATAAACAAAATGTGATATATCCATACAGTGGAATATTATTTGGCCATAAAAAGGAAAAAGTACTGAGTCATGCACTTCAAAAACATTATACTAAGTGAAAGAAGTCAGTTACAAAAGACTGCATATTGTATTACTTCATGTATATGAAGTGTCTAGAAAAAGGCAAATCCTTAGAGACAGAAAGTATATTAGTGGTTTCTAAGGGCTGAGGGAAGGGGAAAATGGAGAGTGACTACTAATGGGTATGGCTTTTTCCTTTGTGGTGATGAAAATATTCTAAAATTAGAAGGTGGAGATGATTGTAAAACTCTGTGACTATACTAAAACCCACTGAGTTTTATACTTTAAAAGGATGAATTTTATGGTAGTAAGTTATATATCAATACATCTATTAAAATGTAATTAAAATATAGAGCAAAGATTATAAAGGGGTATTTAATTATATTTTTCAGAGTAGCACCAAGTTCTATTCAATGTCTGCCCTCACTCACTAAATAAATCTCAGTTTACAGGATTGATGGATGAATGAACTAAACAATAGACAACAAGAAATGAAATCTCTCTAGCACCCAGATCAATAAAAACAGACCTTGAACTAACTAGTCTTTACCTTGGAAATCAAATGCATAATCTCAAGAGCTCTAAAAAGAACTTCACAAAATAGGACAAAAACTCAGCCTTATTGTTCCTATCTTCTGATTTCAACGGGGAATGTAAGAAAATTAGAATGATTTGGCCCCAAGTTATTAGAAATCACATACTTAAATCTAACCAAGTGCCTCTTTGTGTTCCATGAGAAAATTAGAAATAATTCATATCTATATCATAACTTAAAATTTATATTTAACCATGCTAAGTTATTATCACCTAAAATCTAATTTTGGTAATGATAATTCTTAAGGCCTTCAAATACATATATTTTGAGTGTTAATTTAGTCTTGGGACTGTCAGCTTATAAGAATATAATATACTATTTTAAGATATTTTACAACAAATATTTTGAACTTAAATGAATTTGTCTTGGCATTTGTTTGGCACATATACTCAGAAAACTATATGTATCCTGGAACTTCTTATTGATATTACGACTAGTAGAACCAATCCAACATTTATTGCTGCTTTAGGGAGGCTTGAGGGAGGTACTGGGAATAACAATAATGAAGAGAGTATAGTATATAACCTTCAGAGCCTGATAAAATAGTGGGAGAGATAATAAATAAATAGTTACAAAAATGTGATAAATGCTATAACAGAGGCGAGATCAAGGAGCTCTAAGTAAATGATACCAATTCCAATATTGGGAATATTGACTTTTATTTATCTTATACCTGTAAGATTTTATACCTCTGTAAAAATGGTGTTCAATTAATATCTGTTTAACTGAAATTCAAAGGTAGGCTTGAGATATTAATAAGAAATGGAAAATAAAATAATTTAAAATAATAAAATAAATAAAAATAGAAAACAAAGGTGCTGTATGGTTAAAAGACTATACTTGAAGGACTGTTAAAAAAGCTCAACTTATTTTGTGGCAAACCATTTAATAAAAATCAGTTTATAAATTTGCCCTGGAATCCAGCAAAGCCCTTGCATTTTCATACATTTTATTAAAGGCTTGGGCCCTCTCTCTGAAGTAGAGATGTTAACTTTGGGATCAACAAAGGAGGACTCCCCCACTTTTTTAAGGGTCAGATTTTAAATTTATGCAGCAATGACATTCACTCATCTCTAAGATTCAAACTGTAAATTCAAAGTCCAGCAACTATCTGAAATTTGCTTATAATTCATCTATTTCTTGCTGCTTTAATCTGTTCTACTGGACTCCTGGGGTGTAATGTTACCATATGGATTAGTGGTTCCTTGGCAAATTTCTTATTGCAACTAATCTACAAATTGAGAATAATATCTGGTTTTCTTGCCTTATAGGGTTGTCTTGAGAGGAAATAAAATTGAATATATGCATTTTATTAGTAAAATGCCCTATATGATATGCTACATGCTACTGCATTATTGACCTCCACACATACCAAAAAAAGGGTTTTTTTTTTTTTTAGTTCTACTTGACGAAAATCTTTCATAGTCTATTTTATATTATTCACACTTATGTGAATTTGTTTAAGACAAGCAACTTCAATTTTCTCTCTACTGCTAGATTTCTAAATTTTCAAAATGTGCTTTCATTTTAATGGGCAAAAAGGCTACTATTCACTCTTCCATGAAAAGCTCTTCAGTGACATAAAAGTTGTTGGCATAGAAGCACAGCTTGACAGTGGAGAAACAGCCATATTAAATTGGGAGCATGGTTTAGAGAAGTTTACCTGAGCATCAGGATCAATTCAGAAGCCTGATTCAAATCAAAATTCTAAGGTCTCACCCAGGTCCAGTGGATCAGATCCTGGTGAGGATGGGGGGACTGTAAGTTTGCATTTTAAACAGGTTCCCCGTCTGGTTCTTAGATACTTTAAAGTTTGAGGACCAGAACTGTAGGTCCAGATATTTACATTGCCCACTCTCAGCAACACTGTGGGGATAGCTGCGGTGTGTGGGCAGGGGGTGGTGGTTTTCAAGTGTAATCAGAGGCCTGGAAACAGTGCCCTGCCCTTTTGGATGGGCCTCTTGCCCCCCAGCCTCTATCAAATACAATAGTTCTGCTTTTAGCTGTTTTACACACTGGGGTTCCCTCAGATTTGTTTCATCAGAGGGCTCTACTGCTAAGATCAAGTCTGAAAATCATTGATGAAAGGCATCAAAAATTGCGTCTGGTATCAGAAGACCTGGGCACTTGTGTTTCTCTTGGCACCTGCCATCTGACAGTCTTTGTGCTAGTAGATAAACTTCAAGATCTTCATTTGTAACACAGTCATAATCCTGGGTCTACCTTAAGGGGTGACTGGGGGGATCAAATCAGATAATGCAAAGTATCTGAAACTAGGAATGATTATTCACATGTATTGTTATTGTAACTAGGGACAGCATATGATTGAGTATAAGAATGGATATATTTTAACTCTTCAAGGGATGTGTCAAACTGATCTGTCAAATTCATTTTTGCCCAACACAAGATCACACGTGAACATTGCAACTTAATAAAGGGCCTTTGGAGGAAGGAGGGAGGAGGAGAAGAGGGCGAAACTCACCGACACAAATGCTTGAGATTTGGTTTCGTTCAACTGAAGCTGCAATTTCTTTTCATTGTCATAGACCCCATAGAGCCTCTTGGACCAGGTCTGAGGTACTCTGCTCTTGAATTTTAATGAACTATATAAAGCGAATATCCTTTGTAAATCTAGGACCAGACAGCTGCAGTTGTAGAATATGACACCAAGTTCTTTCATCTGTGAAAGTAAAACGAAAGCATCAATGCCGTGTACACGTGATGGTGTTACTCTCAGAGAAAAAAATGTAGTATTCTCAGAGAAAAGACTGCAATAATAGCAATAGCGATATTTTTTTCTTGCAATTGTTATACTGTAACAACTATATATATATATATATATATATTTATATATATATATATATATCTGTATCTGTAAGTATGTAGATACAGTCACATTATGGTATATAATGTATCTGTAAGTATGTAGATAGAGTCACGTTATGGTATACAGAAATGATGCGTCATTAAAATGCTTAAATATTTAAGGAAAACTTTTGCTGGAGTTTTGCATTTGAGCTCTTATGGATAATTTTTCCATATTCACCTACACTTTTTATATCAGCTCTTCAGATTGTTTTCTTCAACATTAATTTTTTTGGTATGAATCCTTAAATTGTTCAGCAATATAAAGATTGACTTTTAGTTGCAACATAACAGAATGGTTTAGATCATGGATTCTGGAATCAGATTGCCTGAAATTAGGTTCCAACTCTACAAATTTCTACTGTGTGGCTTTTTTTTTTTTTAATAAATTTATTTTTGGCTGCACTGGGTCTTTGTTGCTGCGCACAGGCTTTCTCTAGTTGTGGCGAGCGGGGGCTACTCTTCGTTGTGGTGTGTGGGCTTCTCATTGTGGTGGCTTCTCTTGTTATGGAGCATGGGCTCTAGAGCACAGGCTCAGAAGTTGTGGTGCATAGGCTTAGCTGTTCTGCGGCATGTGGGATCTTCCCGGACTAGGGCTTGAACCCGTGTCCCCTGCCTCAGCAGGCGGATTCTCAACCACTGCACCATGAGGGAAGCCCTGTGTGACTTTTAAGATACTTAATCTCTGGGCATCATTTTCTTCTTCCATAAAAAGGAGACAATAGTATTTATTTCATACAATTGCTATGATGCATAACACGGTTAATATATTTTATGGGCTTAGAATAGTGCCTATCACATCGTAACCACTTAAAATATATTAGAAATTATTATTCTTATTAACATTGCACAAGCCTCAAGAGTAAGAGACCAATAGAATCTCGCAACAAAGATATCACAGAGATTATTTTGTCCACCTCCCTCGATGCACAGATGAGGAAAGTAAATCTTACACAGGTAAGCAAAAATATATCCCCCCGAGTGAGAGATCTAGTCAGGGGTAGATTCAGAATTTGTTGCAGGTTTTCTCACCCTTGATCAAATACACCCAGGAACGTAGCAGCACTGGCTTCAAGTCTATTATCACTTTGAAAAATTATAGATGATTTCTGGTTTAGTCAATGAAAGTGAAAAAGTGAAATTTTGGTCTTAACAGCATAAATACACATGCCTCATGATCTGAACACCCAGTGAGGGGTTTGTCAGGGACACCTTGGAAGGTGTTTAACTTCATTTCTTTCCTCCACCCCCCTACTCAATACTCTTCTCAGGATTATAGGAGAGGTCACCAAATGTGTAGGGGCCCATCTCTCCTTTCCTATTAGGACTCCCTAATACAGTGCATCATGGAGATGTTTTCACATTCATCTATACCTGGCTGGCATCATTTTAGCAGCTCCACAGCGACCACAGAATAGATGGACACAAGTTATTTAACCTGCTGATGGACTTGTCCTTATTTTTCCTCTAATACAAAATATAAAGCAACGAGCACCCTTGTACACACATCTCTGTGTGCCTGTACAAGGATTGCTTTAGTACAGATTTCTAGAATTGAATGGACACAAACATTAAGGACAATTAAGAAAGGTTAAGAAAGTGGGAGGAACTAGAGTGGGGAGGGCGTATCAGGTATGTGCAAAGGCACTGAGGTCAGTGGGATAGAATCAGAGTTGTGCAGCTGAAGCTGAGGGAGATAAGGGAGAATGTGTATGTGTATGTGAGTGGGTAAATACTTTAATTTGATGGTAGGGGGTAAAACTGGTGGGACAGGTGTGTCAGATTCCCAGAGGCCTTTGTGCTGGGATGGGCAGTTTGGCATTTATGCCAAAGGACATGGGGAGGGAGGTGATGAGGCAGAGGGGGTGTGGACAGGCTATGAACTGGAAAGGTCCCTTTGCCTGGCTGTGGAGAAAGGATGAGGGAGTTGGAGGCAGGGCCTTCAACACCCAGGCCTTAACAGTGGCAAGGGGAGAGACTTACACATACTTATGTGTTTTCTAATCTCAGGGATTTTCAAAAACTGTTTAGCATAACTGCTAATAATTGCTAATCCCATTCCAGGTTGAGATGGGGCCCACCTTGCTGTTTGCACAGTCTCTGCTGATAGAATCTCAGGAATAGTAGGCTCTGCATTTGACCTTCACACTTCTGTGACTTTTCCCAGATTGAGTCAATGCTGCCACATTATCTTCTTCAAGGAAGCCTTGATCATTTCAGGGTTTTCAACTTTGTATCAGTTTAGCTTTATAAATAGGCTCTTTGTCTGGTGGTAGCAGTGGGGTCAGCAGAGCTGAGACTCAGGTTCCCACATAAGTAAGCAGCTGCCCCTCCCAGACATGCTTCCTTGCCTGCCAGACACAGGCAAGGTTAGTGCATGTCCAGGGGGCTGGCCTGGCCTGGGGCCATCCTCAGGAAAAAAGGGACAAACAACAATGACCTGAGGCCAAAGATGTGGGTTGAACTCTAGGATCTTTCACCAACCAGATTATAGGGTCTTGGGCAAGTCATCCAATTCTGAGTCCTTTTTTTTCCTTTTCTGAACAATGAAGGGGTTGGGCTTATAAAGTCTACAGGGGTCTTCCAGCCTTGCCATCTATGGCTTTGGGACATCAATTTCCTGCCCACCATGCATTCCCTTCTCTCTGCCCAACCTGCCTCTCAATACTGACCAGAGACTTCTGTTTGTGTGTCAAGATCAGCTCCTTCTGGCTCCTGCCTGAATGTGGCTGGCGACCCTCCCAGGTTTTAAAGTCAGATGAGGCAGATTTGCATCTTGGTTCTGCAGCTTACTGGTTGACTAGCCTTGGGTAAATTACTTAACCCTTAAATTCTAGTTTATTGTTCGATGAGGATAATATCTATCTACAAGTTTTGCTGTTAGAATTTAATAATAATCCTAATTTTAATAGCTAGTATTGACTGAGGGTTCACTTGTTGTGTGTACTGTGTTGCATATTGTCCCCTCGTCCCATTCATTTCTACACAGAACCTGTGAATGTGACCTTATTAGGAAATATGGTTTTTGCAGATGCAATCAAGATGAAATCATACTGAATTATGGTAGGCCCTAAATCTAATATGACTGGCATCCTTATAAGAAAAGGAAAATTTGGACACTGTGCCACATACACACAGGGGAGATGAACATATGAACATAGGCACTGGAATGATGCATCAGCAAACCAATGTGCCAAGGATTGCTGGCCACTACCAGAGGTTAGGAGGACAGGAAATAGTCTCCATTAGCACCTTCAGAGACCTGTGAGAGAAAAGATCCTGCTCTTTTAAGCCACCAAGTTTGTGGTTTAGAAGCCCTAGGAAACTGGTGCAGTGTGCCTTTCATCTTGATAGTAGATATAATGGTACTTATTCCTTCCACTTTATATAGAAGGAAACTGAGGTTTGGATGGTTATTTGCTAAATTATAAATGATACAGCTAAGATTTGAGTTTTGGTCTAACTTCAAAGCCTGTGTGCTTGGTCCCTTATGCTATACTGACCTTAGCACATGGCTAGTAAGCAACCCATGGGTCTACTGCTGTTAATTCTATGAAGCCTTTTCTGGCCATGTTTCCTGCTTTGTCTAGTACCGTATTTGCACATATTTCTGATGTGGCACATTTTTACGCGGTATTATAGTTTTAAAAAATTTGTGTGTCTGTTTCCCCTAAGTGACTCTACAGTCTCTGAAGGCATCAAATTCATATTTCTATTTCCAGTGCTGGGCTATAGTGCTTGCTTGGAAAATGTTTAACAAATGAATACCTGGCCTTCAAGATGAATTTATGGTGGTCAGAGATGAAAACAAGCTTCCTTCTCAACCCAGAAGCCCTGGTTCTGGATCAGCCTGAGAGCCTCTGATCCTGAGCACCCAAATCTAACAAGAGCCTCTCTTCTGGTGCCAAGGGCCCTGGAGCAGCAAACCTGGACATGGACACGTAAAACCTGTGGCCGTGCTGGCCGCAGAGATCCGCCTGGAATACTTTCACAAGCACGGTGCTCAATGATGGCATCAATGACAGTTCTTATATTGGTCAATGAGCCAACTGTCCTCTAACCATGTTTCCTGCACCTACCAACAATGGGGTACAGAACCTGACACAGTCTTTTGAGTGGAAACTGCCTTATACACAGCTCTATCCAAGCCCAGTAGAGCAAGAGGCAGAATGCCATGAAAGTACAAATCCAGGGAATCATTTGATTTTTGTGACCAAAAGTTGAACTTGGTGGCCATGATTGGCTTTCAGTATGTTTGGATCTCTTTGGTATCCTTTGTTTTTCCACATCAGACCTTTAGAGATTTCAGGTTACTTGCAACACACGGCAAACAAGTATGTTTGGAGTCTTCTGTTCAAAGGCTGGACAAGAATATGGTGCTCTCCTGTGTACCTCTTTCCTTGGGAACAGCTGTCCCCTAGTCTCCACATGGGGGTTACATCATCTCTGCTGTCATTGGGGAACAAAGCCACTGCCCCCTGTCATTCTCTACTGACTCTTTCCTAATACACAGAATAATATTAAGTGACGTACTCACTACACTAGTGCAAGCTCCCCATACCTAGGAAGAAAGCAACCACTCTCCAATATGGTATGGCGTGAATAATCTGGGTAAGTGTTAATGTGAAATTTGAAATCTAGAAGGGTGCCAGGGTAGCAGCTCTGAAAGCTTTCCCCTGCAGAGGAACAGGGGAGAGAGAGAGAGAGACCTCTCCATGTGACCTAACAAGACGCAGGAAGTCATCTCCCAGAACAGGCTCTGAAGACAGACTAACTCCACCAAGGGCAAGGTACTTAACCTCTTCGCTTCCTTTA